AGCAGCTCCAGCAGGAGCCCTCCACGCTTGTTCTCATAGGTGGCAAACCCCCCATCAGGATTCCTCATGTTCAGCAGCTAAACCAGAGAGAGAACATCCTGAGAACTTACCCATACCTTAAACACACACTTAATCCCACAAGTCATAGCAGAGCTTTCTAGAAATACCTCTGGGCCGACAGGTGATGGGGCAGAAATAGGAACCACAGTTTACATGATAAGCAAGACTTGGGTGCCTCAAGCAACAGCTGCAGCTTGATCATTCATGAGCAGCCCCCTGAGAACTGCCCAAGGTATATCTGTTTACTAAGTCACATGTGCACTGCCAAATAATGTAGGATCTCCATTGTAAAATGCTCATAAAAACCAGACGTAAGAAAGGGTTTTACACAAAAACAGACGTTCGGATGTTTTCCTTGAATACCCAGCAGAGTACACCAGCTCTCACGAAAAAGGCCTCAGCACAACATGGCCAGGGCCTGAGCCTCCAGAACCAGAGAAAACTCAGGAGCCACACTGACCCCTGGCCTCCTGCAGCACAAGGCCCTGTGTACACAGGCCAAGGCCATAGATCTCCATACAAAAATGCCATCTGAGGAGGACCCTACAGCCCTGTCCCTGGGAAGCAGATGTGAGGTGGGGGGGACCACAGCCTCACCACAGCCACAGCATTGCAGAGCTGCTCACGGGGGATGTGCTCAGTGACAAAGGGACACCTCTCCTGCAGCAGCAGCACAGACTTCAAGGCCTCAGCTGTACAGTCGGCGACGATCCAGCCACAATCCAGTGTGCTAAAGCTGAAGCCACCCTGCAGAACACAAGCTGTGACCAAGGGCAGGTGATGTCTACACCACAGTCTGCAAGGCCACCCCAGCCACAGAGCCTCTCCCTCCCCAGAGAACCCTGGTCAGGGCAGCAACCTGTCTACTACATGGTTTAAGTGCAGAATGGCCCTGCTGGGCACACCTGGACAGACCTTCCCAGTTTCCCTCATAGCCCCTGGGCTACAGCCCCCATGCCCTCAGATCTGACCATGGACAGCCTAGGGTGGGGCACAGGCGCCCTCCCAGGCCTCGTCCTATGGCCCAGTTCATGTCTCAGCCCTTCATTTGATATCTATGTGTGCCATGACCACCTATACAACCCTCATGCATGCCCACCTGTGTGTGCAGACTGTGCCACGGTGGCAAAAGGAAGCCCCACACACCAAGCAGTCCCAGAGACAATCAGCATTGTTCCACATCAGTTGTCACTGGAGCAGGAAGCCCCAGAACACCAAGGGAAGAGCCCTCATCAGAGGCAAGGACAGGACTAGCCAGGCCTAAGACTTGGGAGGCAGCTCATGGTACCTTGCTCATCTGGCGGTAGTACTTCTGGTAGTCAGGAGGGTTGTCCGGGACCTGGCAGCATCACAGGCACATGTGGAAGGCAAAATACACGTCATCTCTAGGGCAGGAGGGCTCACACTGCCCTAGGACACTGTTTAGGTCACCTGAGCCAGACTGGAGCAGCCATCAGGCTACAAGGCACTGCCCAAGACCCATGCTCTAAGTGCAGCAACCCCAAATAGTCAGAGAGGGCTGAAACCAGCCTACATAAAGGCAGCAGCCCTCAAGCCCCTCAGATTAAGAGAGATTCCCTATCCACCCCACCTGGCCCAGGCTCCAGGCCCCTGGGCAGGGCAGGAACATGGGCCTTACGCAGCATCCTCATCATCTCTTTAACAGGGCCCCCTCTCCCTGCTGCTCTTGAGCTGCACCTCCCAGCCCTGTGAGAGGAAATGGGTTGAGCTCATGGCTGTCCCCACCATTCAGGGCTGAACCCAGCCCTGCTGAGGGAGCAAGCACAGCACCAACCATCCCCTTACCCTGGACACATATGAGTCTTGGTTAGACAAAGGCTGTAAGGGGCAAGTGGCTTAGGAAGGCCCAAGGCCCCCGCAGAAGTAGCACCAATCCTAGAGAGGTCTAAAGAAAGGAGGAAGGGTCACAAGGGCAGTATCCAGGCAGAAGGATGCTTGAGAGGCCCAGGCTGGAGGTAGCTACTGTGGTTAGGGCAGAGAGTGGGGAAGGGACATGTTTGGATGGCAAGGGCTGCAGATGGAGCAGTAGGAGTCTGAAAAGATCAAATCAGAGACTAAGTGAAGGGTCTGAAGGACAAGCCAGTCACTGCTGCTGGTATTAGTAGGCTGCAGAGCTGGGGGACACACCTTTTGACCAGCCTCTGCACATGTGGTTCTCAAGGGAATAGGAAGCAGCAGAACTTACCAGTGTCCACAATGGTGACAGGACACTACAGGTCTTGTTGAGAGTTGGCCCTAGACAAGGTTGGTTCAAAGGCCAAAAGAGAAGACAGAGGAGGGA